CCCCCAAACCCCCGGCCACAGGCTGCTCCTAGGAGGACAGCATGTTTGTTGAGTCACTGGAGAACACTGGGGACTTCCTGAAAGTGGTGTCGCCTGAGCTGGGCCTCAAAGAATGGGGGATGGAAAACATCTCAGGGAGAGCAGTAGCCAGCACAAAGGTTGGGAGGTCCGGGAATCCCCGACGACAGGGGCAGAGTGGGGGTCTCCGGAGGCGGCAGAAAGGCCCCTGTTCCACCTGCTTCATATTGGGGAAGGTGATAGAGTGGGCAGTGGCGCTGGGCAGGACCTTGGGTTGGAGACCCACACACACCTGCCTGGACTTGTGGTCTCTGAGACACAGTGCCAGGACTCAGAGAGGAACTGCGCAGTAAAGGTGCAGAGAAGGGACTGGGGATGCGACTGGACTCCAGGGCGAGATTCCTGGAGTAATAGGCGGAGCTGTCGGTGGACAAGAGTCTGCAACGCAAGCCTCTGCAAGGCGATGATGGTGAGGGGTACAGTGGAGCTGGTTTGGGTGGTAGAGACCTCCCAAGGGCTCATTCCTGGGTGTAGCCGGAGAAGTTGGTGCAGTCATAACAGCTCCCTGAAATGGAGAGGCTGGGACACAGGGAGTGGGGGCCCGCAGAGCGCGCGCCCAGCTACCCCAGGTCAGTCCGGAGCCAGCTCTGGACAAGAGCCGGGCGGCGGCCGGGAGAGGAGTGGTCCCCGCGCCCTCCGCTACCCCCGAGGCAGTTGTTTCCCTAACTCCGGATGCCGGGGGTGGCTGTGATTGGTTGAGGGTCGACGGCCGGTGCACGGATTGGCTACTCGCGGACCAGAGGCTGGATCCGCAGCGCAGGGTCCGCCCCCGAACCTTCAAATGGGAAGCCCCCCTAGGAGGCGCCCGCAGTTCTGAGGCGGTGGAGCAGACTTGCTGGAGCGGCGGACGGGAGGCGGTGAGCCGGCAGTGAGCCGGGCGCAGAGGCACCAGGGCCCTCTCAGGCTACAAAGCCGCTCCACCGAGGCACCGCCGCGCTCTCCCGGAGGCCCGGAGGCCCGGGGGCCGTCGGGCGCCCATCTCGCCTTCAGCCATGGGGTCGGCCGCGCTGGAGATCCTCGGCCTGGTGCTGTGCCTGGTGGGCTGGGTGGGCCTGATCCTGGCGTGCGGGCTTCCCATGTGGCAGGTGACTGCCTTCCTGGACCACAACATCGTGACGGCGCAGACCACCTGGAAGGGGCTGTGGATGTCGTGCGTGGTGCAGAGCACCGGGCACATGCAATGCAAAGTGTACGATTCGGTGCTGGCGCTGAGCACCGAGGTGCAGGCGGCGCGGGCGCTCACCGTGGGCGCCGTGTTGCTGGCGCTCGTCGCGCTTTTCGTGACCCTGGCGGGCGCGCAGTGCACTACCTGCGTGGCCCCAGGCCCGGCCAAAGCGCGCGTGGCCCTCACAGGCGGCGCGCTCTACGCGCTCTGCGGGCTGCTGGCACTCGTTCCGCTCTGCTGGTTCGCCAATATAGTGGTCCGTGAGTTCTACGACCCGACCGTGCCCATGTCGCAGAAGTACGAACTGGGCGCGGCGCTGTACATTGGCTGGGCCGCTTCGGCGCTGCTCATGTGCGGCGGCGGCCTCGTGTGCTGCGGCGCCTGGGTCTGCGCTGGCCGCCCCGACTTCAGCTTCCCGGTCAAGTACTCCGCTCCGCGGCGGCCCACGGCCAGCGGCGACTATGACAAGAAGAACTACGTCTGAGGGCGCTGGACTCGGCGGGGCCCCTCACCCCGGCCACTCCCGCAAGCGGGACGACTGGCCAGGGGCGTCGTGCATGGACCGCAGCCTATGCTAGGTGGTGCGGCGCACAGTCTCCGGAATGGCCGGTTCTGCCCCTGGACGCGGCGCACCGGCCGACTGAGACCTTTCACGCGCCCGCAGCCCGTTCTCTTCTACGGCCACTAGCCGGGCCCTGCCCGGAACAAGAGCCACGCACTTGGAAGGACTTGCTCGGTTTCTTTTTCGGTGCGCAGAACTTGCTCCGATGTGAGTGGGGCGCGGGGTTCCTTAGGCTGAATGGACAATGGACCGAAATGCCGCTTTCCTCCCCAACCCTCAGGGTCTTGGATGCCGCCATCCTCCCCAGCGGCTCCTGCTGATTCCAGCCAGGCAGACGGAAAGCCCAGGGACCCCAGCCTGGACTGCCGGAGGGCTGTATACAACCGACCTTTACCCCAAGATCGGGGCCTGAGCCCAGGGGGCCTTGAAAGACTTGGCTTGGACCTCCCAGCCTCACCCCGGCAGCTCCCCAGGAGAGGATTATGGGCACTAGATCCTGCGTGGGGAGCTAGGGCCCTGCCCTCCTTTGCAGCTTGTGGGGGAGGGTAAGAATTTGCTTAGTAAATGGTTTGAATACCCTCCCACCTGTGTCCTGTCCTCTGTCCAGTCACTGCAAGTGCCCAGCAGCACCCCTCATCCACTCACCCACCCACCAACTCCTCCCTGAAAGGCTTTTTTGGAGACCTCCCAGGGCTGTCCCTGGGACCCAGAAGATGTATGGCCTTATCCCTGGTCCTCCCTGCCACTCAATCACCTTCCCACTGGGTGGGAAAAATAGCTACAGCTCATAGCAACCCAGGAAGGTGAGATCTGTAGTTAGAAGAGCCTGGGGCAGGAGGGTGATGCAGACCCCAGAAGAGGATGCAGGTTGGAAATTACTCCCCCCATCCCAGGTCCCCCGGCCACCAGCCAGTGTGGCATTTTCAGATGCAGGAAGTGCTGAGGGTGGGCTGCCAGGTTGCTGGCTTTGAGGAGAGGCCTGGCTCCATGCACCACAGGTTGGGTGTTTTCCACCAGCGCTCTCAGGGCTTGCCTATCTGTGGATCACAGCAAATGACCAGACATCTGTAAAACACTGACTGGGACCTTTCAGTCAACAGTGCAGCAGGAACGGGCAACTCCAGGATGTGTGCTTGGCTCCAGCAGAGCTAGCTGTAGGTCCACAAGCACGTTGCTATGGGGAGGAGGCACTTGTGCAGGTTGCCCAGAGAGTACCCGGGCCAGGCTCCAGACCCTTGTCCTGGCTCTTCTGCCAGTCTCAGCGCAGACTCTGCAGGGCCCATACTCATGTAGCTGGCCTGGCAGCCAGCCCAGAGTTGTACTGACCATTAGCACCTCTGTGCCAGCCCCTGCCAGGAGCACCCTGTGTAACCTTCCTCCTGTGAGTGGGACCCCTGGGAGCCAGTACTCGCCTGGGCCAGGAAGCCAGGGGTTGGGGGGGGGGGGTCACAGGAGAACAGAGCACACCAGAGTTATCTACTGCAGTCACTGAGAGCTCCTTGCTTCCAGCCCCATTCTAGGTGCTTGGAATGAAAGCAGTTTTACTTCTGCCAAAGGCCAGGGCAAAAGACAGCTGTGGATGGGGGGAGGGAGGGGTCTGTAGGGAGGAGCTCCAAGCCCAGGCAGCAGAAAGGCTTGGCATCTGCCCCCAACCCTGGCCTTGGGGACCCTGTCCAGAAATGCTTGGGCCAAATCCAGTGGCAAGCAGTCTCCCAAGCCTGGCCAGACTCCCCACTGTGGGGAAGAACCCAAGAATATGGGCTCAGGACAGCTGCGATGAACACTGCTCTGAATCCCAGGGTTTGCAGCAGAGCCAGTGAGTTGAACTATTGGGTGGCCTGAGCTCCTTGCAATGGGATGAGCTGCAGCGAGATGGGTCCCATAGCATAGAGGTCCTCAGTAGCCCCCCCGGGCCTGTGTAGCCAGGACCACAGAACAACCCTCAAATGCAAGAGTGTGTGAATCTGGGGCTTTGGCTCTTGGTGGGACTGCTGAAACAAAGGTCCTTAACTCCTGGGGCCAGCCACACTGGTGTTTGGCCAGGAGTGCAGGCCCAAGGCTACATCCCACACAAGCCTAGAGCTTTCTGACTCCTTTGGGACCCAGGCATCAGCACAGTCCCAATGATGTGAATGGCCAAGGTGGGCAGCTTGAGGGCCCTGAGGAGTTAGGCTGCTGCTGCCTGACTCATGCCAGGCCAGCCAGGAGCACATTCCATTTACTAGAGGTCAGGCAGGAGGAGCCAGCCTCCAATGCGGCCAACCTTTCCAAAGGTTATGCCCCTTTCCAAAGTTCACCCTTAGACCTGGCCACCCATGTCCTCAGTTCCAGGCCACTGGGGCTTTCCACCAACTTAAAGCCTACCTAAACCACTCTGCTTCCTCCTGCCCAGGGCCCCAGGCACCACACCCAGGTGGCTGTGTCACTCTAGCCTGCTTCCTTGGCACCCTCACTCCAGGCAGAACAGCCAGATAGCCTCAGACACTTATGTCAACAGCTCTCTCTTACCTAAAGGGCAGGAATGGCATCCTCCTTGCCTCCAGATTCCCTCAACCCTTGCCAGGGCTCTGGGGACATCTGGGAGAGTGGGACCACCAACTGATGACACAGCTCCCGACTGAGAACTCTTGCTGTTCTGAAGACTCTGAAAGTTGCCAAGGTCCTGTCCTGCTCGAACCTTCTGTGACCCGGATGCCAGTTAAGCCATCTCCGTCCAGGGCCCCTTAGCCAGCCACACCCTTCCCAGGTGAGGACTGTGCCCTTGCTATCTGCTTGACTCTCCCAGCAGCCTGGGGGTGCTATGTGTCTATGGGGGTGCCAGGACAGGAGGTGCTGGAGAGTAAGATGGCTGTGGGAGGGTGGGCCTGGCAGGGGGACACGGTCAAGAAGGTGGGCCTGAGATGTTGCCAAGGCCAAGTGGACAGGAAGAAGTGATGGGAGAGCAGAGTGAGGTCCTGGCTGGCATCACTGGGCAGTGGTCAGCGCAGGAAGTATGTAGAGGCCCAGGTGCTGAGGCACCCGACATCCACCACCCCCTGCTTTCCAGGGAGCCTGTAGGCCACCGCCCCCCCCCACATGCTGTTTACTGCTGGGCCTTGAGGTTACCCAGGACACAGGAAAAGGCTCCTCCACATCCACAGAAGGCTCAAGACAAAAACAAGTGCTGTCCCTATGACCAGAGCCAAGACTGAGGCACCAAAGCTAAAACAAACATTTTATTCCATTAAAAACCCACTGTGGGTGTCTAAAACCATGTCCATAACTTATAGTCTAAATAAAACCCAGTTAATATAAATTAGGAGAAGGAGGACACATCAGAAGAAATCAAACTCTAGAAAAGAAAAAAAAAAGTAAATTTCAAACAATTCTAACATCTTTCCAAATTAAGCAAACTGCTCAGGCCTTGCCTCTGACATGCTGGGCTTGCTTCTGAGTAGCCTCCACCACTCACACAGGTGAGGAGTGGTGACCATGGGTGGAGGGCCGCCCCAGAACTGAAGTGCCCACTGGCCAGGTCCAGGCTGTCATTTGCTTGAGAACCTCCAAGGCCTCATGGCCCTCCACCACTATATCGCCCTGCAGACCCTGCCAGTGCCCTGTCCAGTCTCAGCCCCGTGGTACCTTCACAAGGTTTCTCCCCTGGCCTGGAACGTCTCCCCATACTGTCCCCCCACCCACCTTCCTGGCTGGCTCACTGTGCACACTGTCATGGTGGCAGGGCACACAGCAGCACTGGCATCATCACTGAGCAGGCCGCAGGGGAGGAGTATGCTTCAAATACCAGCCCCCCACCCAAAAGCCCCCACTTGTAGCCTTTGATTTGGGTCATAAACTTATACCCTGCCCCCATCTGAAGGCTCAGTGCTCATTGTCCAAGGGGTGTTAGCCCCACTTCAGATGAGGAACCCGTCATAGCCTGGCGAGGTACCCAACAGACCTTGCTGAAGACCCGAAGGGTCTGAGTCCAAAGTTCCTCCCCAACACGAGCCCCTTTATACCCTAGCCTACTCTGAAAGAGGGACTGTGGGGTCCCTGAGACCCCCTATATCATTCTCAGCAGGGCCCACTGGGGCCCTGACAGGGGAAAGGCACCTCCACAGTTTCCAACCCACTATGGATGGTGGGGGAGCGGGAAGACCCTGGGCCAGAACAAGGGCACCCCTACCTCAGAGTCTTGACAAGGCCTGTCTACCACAGCAGTGGCTCCAGCCCAGGGCTCAAGGAGATGCAGGGCTGGGTGTGAGCATCCACTGTGTGGGGGGCCCTTCAAGAGAGATGGCATGAGTGGCACTGGAAAGAGCCCCAGCTGGTGAGCATCACTGTGGACTGCCAGTGACAGCCTCATGCTGGTGCAGGCCCACAGAGATGACATTTTATAGTTATTGATGAGTGGCTGCCAACAGCTTTGTTTTCTCCTAAGTCAGATGCACAAGAGCCCAGATAGGAGCCTCTGTGGGCTCTTGCCCAGAGCCTGATACAATGCTGCAAAAAGCAGCAAAGCTCCAGGTGTCCCTCCCCTGCCCCCCTCGCCCACAGGGGTCACCCTCTTTCCCGGCAGTGCCAGGAGGCCTGTATTTCATTCACTGATGCCCAGCCCATAGTGTGGTCAGGAGAGGGTAAATGCCAGCTCTTGCTGAAGGAGTCCCAGGAAGCTTAATGAAATTAGCTCTTTCAAAAATGCCCCGTTGTGGCACTGCCGCCAGCCCAGGGACATCCTTGGGAAAAATGTGTTGGTCCCAAATCTTAGAACACTGCTTGGGTCTGAAACCCAAGTAGAAAAGCCTGGCTTGAGGAGGAAAAACTCAAAGCAGGGAATGAGGGGCCCTCTTTACACTTCAACAAGGCTGGCTTTGTGGCAGGGCCACCCCCAGCCTCTTCTGGGGAGCCCCCCTGAACTCTCCAGCACCCCACCCCTCCCCCACATCTCACCATCAGGACAGGAGAGAAACAAGTGCATCCAGAAACTTGCTCCGATCCTCTGCTTTCAGTTCAATTACTGAAGTAATGAAAGAAAAACACCTCGTGAGGTGGAGGAGTAGGGCTGAGGGTGAGGGAGCAGTAGGAAAAACAAGTCAGGGTGTTTGAACTCCTTCTTCCGAGTCATCCAAGATGGGAACCACCCTCCAGCACATTTCAAAATGTACTCAGCTCCTTGAGGCCTGGAAAATTTTGAACTCAGAGGCTGTACTTCACTGTCTGTATTTAATCCTCAGAAACTGCTGGCTGCCCTGTTAGTGAGGCTAGCTGGGCTTATAGTCTATGGGGAGGACCCTCTGGGCAGCTAGGAGATTGGCAGTGACAGCCAGTAAGGGGGACATGGGATGTGACAGTTTAGAAAAGATCTAGGCAGAGACAGGCCTTCCCATCCTGCTGGACACAGAGCCCTGCCCCATCATGGGTTGCAGGAGGCCCTGAGTCTTGCTCTGGTCAGTCTCTCGGCTTCAGTGCTCTCCTCTGCACAAGGGGGACACGATGTGAACTGCCTCCATTTCTGGGGGGCCATCAGACTCAGACAAGCACATGGACCCTCATCAAACAGGGCAAAACTGGACCAGCCTGGTCCTGTGAGCCATCTGGAACCCCAGGCCCAGTGTACCCAGGTGGGTGCTGGCCTGGCTCCCTCTGCCGTGTCCCTCCTCACTGCTCTCCACCCATGGGGGAAGCCGAGTAACTCCCAGCCCGCAAATCTTCTGTGAGAAGCTGGGACATCTTGCAGGCCAGCCAGCACCAACATCTCCCGCATTGGTGTGTGCTGCTGCTGGGGTTGAACCCACCCAACATAGAGCCACAGCCCAAGTGGGCCCAGCATGAAAGAGCTGGCTTTAGATGACTGAGGCAGCTGGGATAAACACTGGGTCACTGATGGTAGGGACTCATTGTAACAAATCAGCTGATGGTGATGAAAGACACTGTCCTTTCTCACAGATGGGGGTTATGGGCTGAAGTATATTCTCCCCAAGTTCTTGAGTAGAAGGCCTAGCCACCAGCGCCTCAGACAGCATGTGCTTTATTTGGAGAGGGGGCTCTTGAAGGTGTTTAGGTTCAATGAGGTCATATGGGGGAGCCCTAATCCAGTCTCACTGGGGCCCTTATAAGGAGACAAAGACACAGACGCAGAGGGACGACTGTGTGAGGACACAGCCAGAAGACGGCCATCTGCAAACCAAGGAAAGAGGCCTCAAAAGAAAACGATCCTGTGTACACTTTGATCTTGGACTTCAGCCCCTAGAACGGTGAGAAACGTACTTCTGTTGTTTAAACTTCCTAGTCTACGTATGATGTTATGGCAGCCCGAGCACACTAATACAAAGGGTGAGGGGTCACCATGTCTGTTTTACTTAAAAATCTGTCAGTGAGAATAAAAAGTAAATATGGCTAAATGTCAACCATGTTCCACGCTGGCCTATGGAGAAAACTGTGGGGTGTTGTGGGGGACACTGGCCAGCTTGCAAAGCCACCCCCTGGACTGGGCTCTTCCATTCTCTGGGTTCATGCAACATAAGGGTGGGGCCAGTACCTGGGCTGTCACAGGACTACGTGGGACCCTTCATGATAACATAGATAAGAGCTGCTGGCCTGCAGTGGTGGCCAGCATAGCCTTAGAGGCAGTGCTCTTGGGTTGCCATAAGCCCTGTTTCCATACCCACAGAAGAGGCAGGTGACCCTGATGGGTGAGGCTGGCCCAGGAGGCTCTAGAGGCCAGTCCTCGGGACTCCTTTGTGAAGTGGTCTCAAGGGCTGGACTGTAAGGCCAAAGCCAGGCTTATGGCTCTATGGGCAATACCCGTTCTCTCTCTGCCCTGGGAGCCCACCAGAGGCAGGGGCATCCTAGAGCTCCCTGAGCCACCTGGTCCGGGGCTGGCTCCAAAAAAATGAGGGCTGCTTGCAAGGTATTTCTAGCGATGCCAGCTTCCCTAGTTCAAGGCCAGCGTTGACCTTGAAAGGGCCCCAGTACAGCAAACTCTTACCTGAGAGGTCAAAATGGTTGTGCAGCGTCCGAGAATTGGTGCCCTCTGCTGCCTTCTCGAACGCCCGCCCAAAAAAGCTGCAGACATATAAAAGGTCTGTTGGGAACCCATCCACTGTAATGGACCTTCCTAAGTCCCCAGAACAGACATTAGACTTGGCCCAGACTCCTCCCTGGCCGCCGGTTCTACCTGTTGGCACTCATACTCCTTCCTGGGCCACTGTCCTCTGAGGTCTCACCCACACTCACTAGATAGTCACCTTCTCTTGCTGCTGTTCAGCATCCAGCTGGACCCTGTTCAGCCCTCAGGGCATGAGTGTCCCTGGGCACCTCCCAGGGTATGCCCTGACTGTAGCCTCTCTCGTGCCTGCCACCGTACCGGCAGCTGGGACAGAAGCAGAGGCTCAATGGGAGGCATGCTGGGATGGGAGTCTTGGCCAAGGCTGGGTCACACACAGGGTGGAGATGGGAGGAACCTGCAGGGCCGGGCTACAGTGTGCGGCCACAACTCAGGGGCGCAGGAGCATCAAGGGTGCAGGTGTGCGGCAGGGAGGCACACCCAACCCCTGGGGGCTCAGGGTTGCTGCAGGTAGTAAGGGCTGGCAGTGGAGGGAGAGCATCACGGGGAAGGGACTTGGGCTGGGCACAGTCAAGGAGAACAGGAAGAGGAGGGGCGAGTGCTTCAAACCTCTGTGGCAACTCTCACTCGAGACTGCATACCAGCCAGAGTGAACCACTAACCACAGTCACATACAGCAACAGATTGATGACTGGAGTGAGGACGCAGGCAGCTGTGGTGGCCTGTGGGGGAAGGGCTTGCTGGCTGTCTTGGGAACACAGCCCAGGAGCCCCTGGCCAGCTCCACCCCATATGACTGAATCCAAGACCCATGGCATAGCTTTGGAAAGCAGCCCAGCAACATGGAAGCATTTGTCTTAAAAAAGTCCATTGTCTCTCCCAACTTGCTACCTAAATGGCCTTTGCAGACACAGAAGGAGGTCAAAGCTCACAAACCAAAGCTAGGATTGATCCAGATCCAAGACCAGCGTCTTCCACAGCAGAGGCCAATAAGAGCTAACTGGGAAAACTGAGGAGTACAAGACACTAGTGGTCCTTGGTCCCCAAGCTGCCCCACTTGGGGGCTAGGTGTCTTGCTGCCAGCTGTCACTCAGTATCTGACCAAGGTCACCTCTTGGGATGTGTTGGGGAGCACTGAGACTCTGCCAGAGAGGCAAAGGATGGTCACACATAGCCCCTGGGATTAGTCACAGGGCTCTCTGGCCATGCAGAGCATGAAGGGGGCAGCAGGGAGAAGTGGGGAGCCCCTCAAGGCCCTGCCTGTTGGCCAATACAATGTCTGGATGGAGTGGGCAGGAGAAAACCTGACCTTGCTGCAGGAGGAGAATGAGAACCCAGCCCAACAGATGCAGGGAAGACGTTTAGAAGACGGGAGAAGCTTCTCAAAAGCACAAGAAGATGAACCTATGCATTCACAAACCCACTGGTACAATGTCCACAATAACAAAAAGTTAAAAACAGCCTGAATATCCAATAGAAGATGACAGGTAAACTGTCACCTTCATTTAACAGGTTTCCTACTGCTAGAAGTCACTTTTGAAAAAATGTGCATAAAGGGCTGATACTCGGTGAGAAAACAAAATGCAGAAGTACACCACTGACGAAAGTCCAAAACGTTTCCTAGACACTAAATAAAGAAAAGGTTGAGGGAGGACAGGGAGCCACCACCCCAGTCTGGGTGACTACAGCAGTTCTGCAGGCTTCTGCCAGCATGCGGGCGGTGGGGGGTGGGGGGGGTGGTGGGGTGGTGGTGGTGTGCTGGATTCTCCACCTGCTGCCCAAACCATGGGGGTGCAAGTGAGCTCAACTTTGGAATGGCAACTCTGTGCTGGCAGGCAGCAGCCTGGGTGTGCACGCCCCTGCACACACTCTAGTGAATGATCTTTGGTATTTCAGCTCTTACAACTAAACTTTTAAATGTTTGGCAAATGCCTGAAGTGGGGATTTAGTGAATAGTGACTCTGACTCACTGGGGTGGGGGAAGGGATGGGAGACACTGCCTGGATCTCCTCAAAGGTTAATGTGAGGCCCCAACAAGATGGTGATCACTCATGAAGGCTTTGAAGGCATTGTACAGAGTTGGTCTCAAGGATCCTTACAGGTGAAGCCTAATTTCTGGGGTGGCTGACCTGAAACCCCTCAGATTTTCAGTATAAACCATTTGTACCTCAGAAGAGGGTTCTGGCCCAGGAAGGGCTGGGGTTCCTGCCCAAGGCCACACAGAGCCAGGATACCTTATCACACCTCGCTGTAGGTGTGGAGCCCATTCTGGATCCTGGAAGAGCCAGACACTCTTGTCTGGGAGGCCTTGAACAAACTAAAAGAATTCAAAAGTCCAGTCAAGGGGTAAGGCAGAGGCTCAGTGGCTAACCTGCAGCCCACACATTTAAACCCTCACAGTCCCGCCACATGGTGGAAAAGGCTATCCTTGGTGTGGCGTTGAGGGCAAAGATCACCCAACTCAGCAGAACCCATGGGCCAATAACACCCCTTGAGATCCCAACTCCCAGGAGATGCAGAACCCGGCTCACTTCTTCCTGTCTGAGCTGTCCGTCTCTGGGGGGATGCCCACCACAGTCACAGTGCCCTGCTCCACACTCAGGGGTGCGGCCATCACCAAAGGCAGCAGCTTGCAGCGCCGGTTCTTTGTCTGCGGAGGTAAATTGCACCCTTAGTCACCGCCCCATAGGGCACGCACACCACTCCATGCCTAGAAGCTCTAACAGGGCCAGCCACCCACTCTCCAAAAACCTCCAGGGGCTTTCTCTCACTACAGATGCTCAAGTCCCCATGCAGCTGCCCCCCACGCTGTGACACCCTATTCCTAGCCTCCTTCTGTGCCAGTGTCCCTTGGTTGTTCCCTCCCTCACCTCCTTTAGGTCCTGAAGCAGTTGTCACCTTCTCCAGGAGGACCCCCCCCAACCAACCCCCCTCCGTCATCCTGCTTCAGCTTCTCCATGGCGTGCCACCATCTGACACCATACATAATCTTTTGTCATCTGTCCCCTTGCCAGCATGCATCCGCCTTCAACATGGAGACTCATGTGTTTCCTTCACTGCTGTACCCATTGCACCCATACCCTATAAAAGAGGTGACCAACTATCCTGATTTGTCCAGGACTGAAGGGTATCCAAGGGTCATTGGTCACCCTATGATATCAGAGCCTGGCTGGTGGTGACTGCTTAAGGAATATTTGATAAATGATGGGTCCTGTGAAGCGGATATTCATTCATCCTTTTTACAGATGAGGAAACTGAGGCCAGAGATCAAATAATTGACCTCACATCACACAACTGGTAAACAAGGAGGCTGAGATTTAAAAGAAGCCTAGACAGGGGCGTCAGCGTGGCTCAGTTGGTTAAGTGTCCAACTTCGGCTCAGGTCATGATCTCGTCGTACATAAGTCTGAGCCCCATGTCAGGCTCTGTATGGACAACTCAGAGCCTGGAGACTGCTTCAGATTCTGTGTCTCCCTCTCCCTCTCTCTCTGCCCTGCCCCCACTCACACTCTGTCTCTCTCAAAAATAAATAAACACTAAAAAAATAATAATAAAAGAAGCTTAGACAACTTTAGAGCTCGTGTTTTGTCCCTAGTCCAACTTTTGTCATTATTTGACTGTCTTCACATAATAGTCAGATAATCATTTTATAGGTCAGTTCAGTGGTATGAGATAATGTCAACATCCTATTAAACATTTTGTTTAGAGTAGCCCCCAGTGTAAACTGTCATACAGGAAGCAGAGTAAGACTTTGATTGTTGACATGTGTGGGATCATCCCTTTTGTGATCATACCCAGGGGGTGTGTTAGCCTGATGTTAGCTGGGTAGGGGTGGGTGTCCCAGGCCAAGGCAAAGAAGGCTGTTAGGCCATACAAAAGATGGAACCACACATGGAAAAGGGAAAGCCAGCCCAGAAAACAAAGTTTTGCTAGGAAGCAAGTCTGTGCTACAACCAACTTCATCTCTCCCTGATCTGCCACAGCTGAACATAAGCCGTAGCCTCACATTCTCCATGAGGTCCCTTCCTACTTGTCCAAGAGACCAGGATGGCCAAGTAACAAAATCAGAGCTTCTAGGAACTAGAAGATTCCGAAGGGTCAGCTGAGGAAAACACAGCTCAGAAAAAGTGAGCGTTTTCCTCAGACCCCACAGCTGGTGCACGGCCACCAGTACCTCAAGGCCAGCCTCTAACGCCTAGTCCAAGCTCTGCTCTGGGCATCTACCTTCTGGCACCCACCCACCCAGTTCCTCACCGAACACACAAAGGACTTCAGCAGGTGTCTGCTGAGCAGGCTCAGGGATGCTGGCTTGGAAAATAGCACAATGTCCGGAGTGCCCTGCAGGGGAAGGACACAGAGACAGTCAGACGGGGCTGCTGGCAGGCGTGGCCTGGTGCTCAGCTGTCCACAGGAAGCCTGACCTCCATGAGGGAGCAGTAGAGGAAGGGCCCCTGGGAGATGACAAGGTTGGTGCAGAGGCAGCTGGCGATGGTCTGCTGCGTGGCTCGCAGCTGCTTCTTGGCGAGTTCCAGGCCATGGTAGAGTTTGTCCAGGTTACTCCTGTAACACGGCAGACACACAGCTTCAGCATAGAGTCACAAACAGAGCACTTGGCTCCTGGGAGGGTATATGGGGATGAGAGTTTCTTTCTTTCCCTCCTGAGTTCCCTTTCATATGAAAGGAAGGAATAAAACATACATAAACCCAGTGACAAACATGAGATGTGGGAGGGGCATCAGAAGACAGGAAACTGAAAGCCAACAGAGGGAAGACACTGTCCAGCAGGACCTGGAAGGTGTCCAGAGGGCTCTGACAGAGGGGCCAGGGCAAGGTCCAAGAGGAGGATCAGGGACACCTCACCTGACGGATGGATTATTACCCTTCCCCCCACGAAAGGAGGGTTCTCCTCTAAATACATTAAAATGAACTCTGTGGAGAAGTGCACCAAGAAGTTAAAGGTCTCAAAGTGTCATATTGGCTCTCGACCTGCCAAGATGAAGCAATGCCTTCTAGCCTGTATGCTATACCCAAAGACCCAGTGCCTCACCAGGTTTCCACAGCTCCCCCTCTTGATCATGAGGACCACCAGGTATTTGAGAAATGCCTATGCCCAGAAAAAGTGACCCTAGATGAAACAGAGATAATTTGGAGAACAAAAGAAAACTTGAAATGAATTCTAATTAAAATCTTCAAAGGAATTTGGGCAACTAAGATATTTGTAAACCAGTAACAGGATACCATGAAAAAGGAACAATCAGAAACTCAAAGTGTTTGTGGAGAGTAAAGTGATTGCAAAAAAATAAAAAATTCACTCAAAGGATAAAGTCAAGAAGCTTCCTTAACACCAAGAATAAGACAAACATGGAAAACATAAGGCAAAAATCAGACAGAGCATTATTCCAGGAAAGAAAGAATAAAAAAAACACATATGTATGTTTGAGAGGAGTAATAAATAGTACAAAAGAATTCCCAAGCTGAAAAATCTGGGGCTTTGGATCAAAAGGGCTTGCCTGAGAACCCAGTACAATCTATGAGGCAAGATCTACCCAAGACACATCACTATGAAATCACAAAACACTAAAAATAAAAGAAAAAATCCTGCAAGCTTTTTTAGGTGGGGTATGAGGCATTGATAAAGAAACAAGAACTAAGATAGCTCAAACCTCAATTAGCACCACTGGCTGCTAGAAGACAGGGGAGCAATAAAATCCACATTTAACAGGAAATTACCTTCAACCTTGAATTGTATACAAGCTATACCAGGGACCAGGTAAGGGTAGAATAAAGATATTGTCAGATGTGCAAGAACTCAGAACATTTACCTCATATGTGCTCTTTCTTTAAAGAAAGAGAAGTATGCTCTAAAAAAATGAAAGGCTGAAAAAACCAAATACAAGGACCCTAAGAAACACTGGCTCCAACCCAGGGCAGAGTCAGTGCCTGGGATTGGCACAGTCAGTGCCAAACATCAGTGGTGGCAGCGAACAGCAGGCCTAGAGAGCTGCAGGTCCAGGCTGGTGTCAGAAGGCAGAACCCCAGGCTCTCCTAGACAAAAGGGACTCAAGGAATAGCTCCTGGAAGTAGAGCTGGGGAAAAAACTGGATATTATAAAGAAGGAAATTAAGAGTTCCAGGAAAAACAAAGAGCAGCATCAGAAAGTAACATAATCACTGCACACGAGTGATTCTGGAACACTGATTTTCATCTTTTAGAATCAAATCTATAGTCAAGGATGAGATGACTTGCATTCTATTCTCTAACCAAGTGTTATTAACCCTAAAAATATAAAAGCATAGATTTCACAAAGTAGAAGGTATAGGGAAGAGAAAAGTAAGAATGCTAATATCTTTTTCTTACAAAGTAGGGAGAAAAGAGACAATGGTGATAGAACAAGATGCAAGTATGTTACAGTTACAAAGGAGCTAAAAACAGTGGCACAGTAAGGGAAAGGAGCACAAAAGAGGAATAAATATTCTGTCATAGCAGGAAGTCAGTAAACAATGTCTAAAACTGCTCCATCAACTCTGGGATGAGGGCATCAACAGTTGATACTATAGTTTTGGGATTTCCTTATATTTCTAGATAAAAATAGAGCAACCACATTGTAAAACCAAAAATCTAGGACTCTCATGACAGAATAAGGGAACACTGTAGACCCCAAAATATAAGCAGGGGGAATAGACCACCAACTGGCCATAAGACTGGTGTATCTTTGGGAGTTAGTGTGGGAGGGAGCAGAGAAGCAGCAAGAGCTAAGAATGTTTAAAAACACCAGGCAACTGGGGCACAGTGGTTCAAAGTGAGAGTTTTACCCTGTCCAATAGCAGGTGAGTGCAGGAGCTGTGATAAAGTGCAAGGGGACATGGTAAAGACTAGGGGGCCGTAGCAGTCTAGCTCTGACCAGCCAGAGCTCCTTTCCACTCTGGGTCCCTCACTGAGGAGAAACTGCCAAGATGGAATCAAAATTAAGTAAGACAGAGACAATATGAAAAAGGAAAAAGAAGGTACAGATAAAAATGTACCTGGGATTGTAGTGGAGGTTCTAGCAGTTGGAAAGGAAGAAGTAAAACCATCTCTATTTGCAGATAACATAATCTTGTATACAGGAAATCCTAAGAAATAACTAAAACCTATTACAACTAAAAACAAACAAACAAAAAAACTATTAGAGCTAATATATAAGTTCAATACTGTTGCAAGACACAAGATAAATATACAAAAAGCAACTGTATTTCTATGCAATAGCAATCAGTAAACAAAAATAAAATTAAGAAAACAAGTCCATTTACCATAGTGTCAAAAAGAATAAAATATTTAAGAATAAATTTAACAGGGGCAACCTGGGTGGCTCAGTCGGTTAAGCATCCAACGCTTGATCTCAGCTCAGGTGATGATCTCAAGGTTCGTGAGATCGAGCCCCAAGTTAGGCTCTGTGCTGATGGTGTGGAGCCTGCTTGGGATTCTCTCTCTCCCTCTCTCTTGTCCCTCCCCTGCTTGTGAATGTGCTCTCAAAATAAATAAACATTTTAAAAAAAGAATAAATTTAACAAAAGAAGTACAAAAAGAATTTATTCTCTGAAAAATACAAAACGTTCTTGAAAAAAATTAAAGAGGATCTGAGTTAATGGGAAAACATCCCATGTTCATGGACTGGAAGACTTCCTATTGTTGAGACAACAATACTCCCCAAATTTATCTATAGGTTCAAAGCAATATGACTTCTTTGCAGTATCTGACAAGCTGATCCTAAAACTCATATGGAACTTCAAGGAACACAGAATAACCAAAACTAGCTATAAAGCTACAGTAATCAAAACTGTGTGGTATTGCCACAAGGACAGATACACCAATTGATGGGACAGAACTGAGAGTCTAGAAATAAATTCTCATATTCACAGTTCACTGATATTCAACATGGGTGCCAAAATGATTCAGTGGGGGGAAAGAAGTCTTTTCAACAAATGGTATTAGAACAATTTGGATGTACACATACAAAAGGATTAAGTTGAACCTGTTCCTTGCACCAGACACAAAAATTAACCTCAAATGAATCATACACCTAATGTAAAGGCAAAAACTATAAAACTCTGAAGTGGTTTCTTAGATATGACATCAAAAACATAAGAAACAAAAGAAAAAGGATAACCTGGATATGACTGAAATTAAAACCTTGTGCTTCAAAGAACTGTATCAAGAAAGTGAAAAGATAACCCACAGGATGGGGGAAAATATTTGCAAATCATGTATTTGGTAAGGGATTTATATTTAGAATATAGGAAACAATTCTTACAGCTCCATAATAAAGACAATTTAAAAATGGACAAAGGACTTGAATAGACAGCTCTCCAAATGAGATCTACAAATAGCCAATAAGCACTGAAAAGCTGCTCAACATCATTAGCCATGAGAGAAATGCAAATCAAAACCACAATGAGATCCCACTTCATGTCACTTCACACTAGGATGGCCATCGTGGGTGTGGAGAAATTCAAACTCATACACTACTGATGGAATGTAAAATGATGTAATCACTTTGGAAAACAGTCTACCCATTATTCAAAAGATAAAACAGACTTACCATACGACCCAGAAATCCCATCCTCAGGCATATACGCAAGAGCAATGAAAACACGTCCACACAACTTATATATGCGTATTTATGGCAGCATTATTCATAACAGTCAAAAGGTAGAAACTACCACTGATCAATGGATGAATAAAATGTGGTATATCCATACCACAGGGTCTTATTTGCAAGAAAAAGGAAGGAAATTTCTTCATGTTGCAACATGGATGAACCTTGAGAACACTAGTCTAAGTGAAAGGAGTCAGTCATAAAAGGACATGTATTGTTCAATCCCGTTTATACGAAGTGTCCAAAATAGCAAATCTATGAAGACAGAAAGTAGATTAGTGGTTGCCTAGGGCTCAGAGAGATGGGAGATTTGGGAGGTGATGGTTAAGGGGAATGGGGGGCTTCTTTCTGATGCAACGAATATGTTCTAAAATTAGGTAGTGGTGATATTTGCACAACCTTGTAAATATACTAAAAGCCACTGAATTGTACACTTTAAATGGGTGGATTATATGGTGTACAAATTATAACTCAATAAAGCTGTTTAAAAAAAGTATGTCAGGGAATAGGGCAGGAAACCCCAGAAAGCAGACCCCTACATTCTTTAACACTGCACAGCAACAGAAGTGGCAGTTCTCTGAAGTTAGAAAGCTGTCTGAATCATGCCTCCTCTGAAAGTCAGGGAAGCTAAATTTACACACAAAAAATGAGAAACAGACAAGGAGCAAGGTCAAACCCTCTCAAAGTTACTATCAGAAAAAAGGGAATAGGGAGAATAGCATACCTATATCGATAATAAAAGTACTCTAGAAAGATGTGCCCCCAGAAGGTCAACACTGTAATGTCCTATTTCAAAGCAAGCTCAGACACATTAAAAACAAAATATAAAATGAGACATCTCAGGAAATGAAATAAAAAAATTAGAAATAAGAGGCAAATAATTGATAAATGAAGATTAAACTAGAAAAAAACTCACAAGAATGAATAAACACCACAAATAATGACTGAAGAGGTCAAGGAGGTAAGAAACGATGATTAAAAATCAAAAAGAAAGGAGAAGGAAAGGGTTTGAGAGGAAGATGGACAGGAAATGTGTCACATGCTCCCCTGGTGGACTGCGATTACTTTCTGCAGGACACAGTCACCCCCATGCCCCTGGGGTCCCTGTGACTTGCCTCCTTGAAGAGTATTAGGATGAGGGATAGTGGCCCACTACCTGGAGAGACTGTCCAAAGCCTGGATGAAGTTATCTGTCCCTGAGCCGTCCTTCTCGGGACTCTCCATCAGTGACATGGTGGCAAAGACCACGTCACTGGCCAGGAACTTATGCTTGAACCCGAAGTGAATGCTGAAAGTCTGCACGCGCATGTCCTTCATCCTGCAATGGGAGCAAGCAACATGGCTGATATCCCTGTGTGCATGTGGGAGTGCTCTCAAGTTGTGGGTGCTCTCACTGCCAGGCCAGGCCAGCAGATGTACGGCTGTCTCTCCCTGGCCCCTGCTAATGCACAAGGCAAGACCACTGTGGTCCAAGAATGGAGGGGGGGAGAAGACCTGACATAATAGCCCTGTAACCTGGGGCACTGAGTGCCTTGTCCAAAGCTGTCCTATTGGTTGGGGGAAAGAGCAGAGATGTGTGTGCAGCCCCTCCCATGTCCCAGGATGCTAGAAGCAGCCACAGGACCCTCTAGGCAGAGCGCGCCTGAACCTGGCCTCAGGGGGCCCTTTCCACAGCTATTTCCTGTGTCCAGTCAGGGATAGACCAGGTTGACCTAGAGGTCTACACCTCAGCCCCAGGATGTAAGGACCCGGACTTCTCTAGACCTGGACCTACTTTTAAACCAAAGAGAACTCAAAACTTTGGGAAAGATTAGACAGGTCATATTTGCTTGTGTATTCTTGTTTTTGCATTATTTTAGGTTAAAGCTGAAGCCTGAACAAAGCTTAATGCCGAAAAACATGTGTTTACCCAAATTTATTTGCAGACTCTTCGATCATCTCCCGCAAATTCTCCTTCAAGGAGACGTCCATGGACTGGAACTTCTGCTTCACCTGTTTCAAGGGGAGGCTAGAAAGATGACAAGCACCAGTCACATGAGTAACCTGGCTTCAGATGGAGGTCACCAAGCACCAGTGGGACTGAGAGCACCCTACAAGGAGTCCCAGTGCTCATGAGAGGGGTCTTCATATGTAGGCCTTTGGGCAATATTCTGGGGTCTCCGAGTGAGACACTTCAGGTAGAAACAGGCAGCCTCTGAATGTTGGTCACAACCAAGGGGAGGGACCTTTCCCCTGGTGGGAGGAGTGGGGGTGCCTCTGGGCCAAGGCGGTCACTCACCCCACGTCTGCAAGGAACTCCTGGAGACGCTTCTGCCCATGCACAGACCAGAGCTTGAACCTGGCTGCAGTGTAGCATGTGTTGCATAGGCTGTCATGGAGGGACCAGTGCTGGTAGAGTGCCAGGCGGAGGCTGGGCCCAGTCAAGGAGGCAGTGGCTGGGCAGTGACCCGTGGCTTGGGCAGTGCACGGCCCTACCCATCCCCAGAGAGCCTGCCTGCACAACCAGTTACACCTCCTTAGCTTCATTTGATCCGTATGGAGAGCTTATAAGGGGGTGTCTGAACACCATTATCACTGTTGGACAGACGGGGAAACTGAGGAACAGGGGTTCTGAGAGTCTAGGTACTGTGGTGACAGAGACAGTCCTCATGGCTACACAGGGCAGTCCATGCTGTCATCACATCTGCTCCCTGCATGCTACACCTAGCTTGGCCCTCTCCCACACCCGCCTCTCTGCTGGACACCCCCTGAACAAAACCCCCTCTTCTTAAACACAGTTTACTGCCAGTGGGGCTGTGAGCATGGCTGTGTGTGAGGGTGATCCTGTCCCCACCCCATTGTGTGCCCCTTCTTCCCCGTCCCAAGGGTCTAAGCAGGATGTCAGGCTGGTTCTGCCTGCCTCCCAGTGTCATGCTGGTGCCCTGACACCATTTCTGCCAACACATCTCCCCTTGAGGCTTGGCTCTGACCACATGGTGGGCTCTGTCCTCAGTGCTGCCCAGCCTGATGGCTGGGACCTGATCCCTGGACATCCTGTGTCAGGCCCTGGTGGGCTCTCCAATCCTGGGAGCTCAGATGCCTCACATTTAACACCTCTTCCTAGACATGACCTTCTACTCACCTATCCAAATCCACGTTTATTGGTCCCCATCCATCCCAGCAGGCATAGGACAGCATCATTCCTGCCATCACTACCTACCACTGAAGCAGCAGGCCCCAGCCCTGCCTTATACCTATGGTTGCCAGTCTGTCTCCCTGCAACCAGCAGTCCAGGGACCTTTTAAGCATAAAGAATTGAACTCAACAACCTCCTCAACCTCCCACTGCCCTGGGCTCTCTGACCTTCAGACTCCACTCACCTCTCCAGTCCCTTCCTCAGGGCCTTTGCACAGCCACGGTCTTGGCCCAGGCTGTCCTCCCTCCCACCCCGTGTGTCTGAGTCTCAGCCTGGGATGTGGCCCCCCCCAAAGGCCTTTCCTGAGTATTGCCACCCAACAACCCCCTGGTTACTCCATCAATGCCCCACCTTCTTATGGAACATTTGTGCTCTGTAATCACATGCTGGCTTACTGCTTCCTGACGGGCTTGGCAAGAGTCTGCGCTCATCATTAAACTGCCCGCACTGCACAGATAGGCCCTGCAACACACCAGGCCTACAATGAGCCGTAAATAAATAGATGATGCTTCTGAACACAGCACTGGCATTTAGCAGCCAAAGCCATACAGAAGAGCCAGGACAGAGTCTGCTCCCCAGTACCTGGTGCTTTGCCCAGCCTGGAGAGCACACCAGGGCCCCTTTCTCAAAGCCTCTTGTTTCATCCACTGCCTGCCTGGGTACACAGTAGACACAGCAGTACAATCCAGGCCTGCGACTTCACAGCCACAACCACACCACCCCCAGGGGGATGTGGGCTGGGCTTGCAGAGGTGATAAAGTGGTGTATGGTTGAGCAAAACTGAGGGCAGGGGTACTGCCTGTGCTTGGCCGGCCTGAACAACAAGGATACTCGTACTCGAAGGAAATCCGTGTACAGTCCACAGAGAGGGAGTTCTCCTCATCCTCATTCCGGTGGTTGTGCCGAGACACATGGCGCTGCAGGATGCCAATGTCCGTTACGTACTTCATCCTGGAATGAAAGCACTGCCAGCCGCCTGGGTGGATGCCTTCCTCCCTCACGTGCAGCCAGGCCACGTGGCTTCCCTCCTTCCCTCGGGGGACCCCCCTCACAGGCTAAGGGGCTAGCCCACCATACAGGCTGTTCCTGTCAGGATGAGGAAGGTCCACCATCTCTGCAAAGCCAAATGTGGCTGTGGCACCAGGGCCTTGGCAGCTAGGTTCTAAGCCCTTCCTCCACGACGAGGATCCAGGCCCAAGGGGGCATGTGAGTAGACAGAGCTGGGAGGGGTGGGTTTTGGCCGCAGCCCCTGCCCCCTTGCACTCTCCTCTGGGTGGCAGCTGTCCTGCCCTTACTTATTTGAGGCTTCCTGAGGGCAGGCACTGCAGGAGGCCAGAGCCCTGTCCAGCAGTCACAGTCAAGTGGACGGACTACATAGTGACAGTAGTCCACAGCAAAGGGTGTGGATCCTCTCAAGCACAGCAGGAGAGGGCAGACCCCAGTCCAGGTCCACCTGCAGATGGCCACTGAGGAGAACAGTGACAGTGGAGCCTCATGTGAGGGGCTGCCATAGGCCAGGGACAGTGCCTGGCGCTGCACACAACGCATGCCATCTTTAAGAGAGAAGGGGGAAGAAGACCCAGCAAGGTATCCATGCCTGTGAGACTCAGAACCCTCCTGGTCCCTAGGCTACACTATATGACTCAGGTGGGCAGAGTGAGGTGGAGAGGCAGGGAATGGGGGTGCTGGGGCCTCTGTAAACTGCACAAGGAGTGTTCTTGGACAGGGTTAGGGTAGGGGTCCCTGTCAATTCTCTTAGAGTCCTCACCTGATGGCCACCAGAATGCGGATGAGAGGGGGTGCCGGCACCCCATGCTTCCCAGGTATCTCTATTATGGGGCAGCCCTTCAGCTCTCCATCAGGAGTGATGGGGAGCACTAAAGCCCGCTCACCAAGGGGCAAAAGAGAATTCGGCTCCATGCCAGCCCTCCTGGCAGTCCTTGCCAGCCTTCCCCTTGCCTTTGAGATCACATCCACCCTCCCTGGTAGGACTCCTGGGGTCCTCACCTCCTCCTCCTAGAGCCCCCATGTCTACCATGCAAGGACCACATGGAGAGCCAGGATACTGAGCTCCCTCCTCTCACCTCTGGCTCCACCTGCTGGGCTCCCCGAGGGTGGATGAAGCATACACACAAGGCCTAGTTCTAAGCCCTTCCTCGGTGACAAGGATCCAAGCCTAAGGCCAGCCCCCTCCTTATCAGGGCTCTGCCACCCATCTTCCCACTGCAAAACTGGGCTGCAGCCAGGCCATGCACATGGCCACAGCACAGGCCAACCTCTGACAGCCGGAGTGAGTGCATCCTTACTGGGTGATCTTGTCTTGCACCCACTGGTCCGTTAGTCCAACAATGGCCCACCTGGAAGAGAAGAGTGCAACAAAGCTCACAGGAGCATGGCCTGGCCCAGGCCCACCGCCCGACAGTCTCTCCTCTGCAGGGTAGAAGGTTATGGAGCCAACTCAGGGCTCGCAGCATAGCAGCACAGCAGTGGGAGCTTTTGGTGCACAGGAGGGAGCGCTCCCAGGGCAAGGATGGCAGGCCTGATGTGGTCTCTGGGAGCTGGCTGACCCTAACACTCTCCACCCTCATCTTTCTGGAGCAGAGCTGCAGCAGACTCGGTGCTCAGTTGCTGGTGGGTCCTGGTGTGTCACTCCACCCCCAAGCCCCTCATGTCACCTGCCCCTCTGCAATATGGCTTGCAGCACAACAGACCTTCATCAAGTCCATGTCTGTTGTCCTGGTATGAAATGGCAGGACATAGAGTCACAGAATTTAGGCCTCATAAGAGCCTTCCAAGGTCCTGTCTCTAAGCTCATCTTTTGTGGATGAGATGATGGAGGCCCAAGCTGGCCTGACCTCCCCAAGGACCATGGCCAGCCCATGGCAGAAGGAACCAGGACCTCAGGTATTACCCTCTGTCAGTCCCCAGGCAGTGTCCTTCAATAACCCCCTCTGGGACCAGAGCCAAGAATAGTCAAAGATGCTTGGAGAAGTGAGATGGAGAGGCCCTGGAAGGTTCATGTGGGGGCAGGGCATTCGAGCACGCCACCATATCTGTCAGTGCAGTGAGTCCCTTCTCAGAAGGTCTTCTTCAAAACATGCCACCATGGGGCGTCTTCCCAAGCCTACCCTTTCCTCCTTCCAACCTTCCCATGCATATATTTTGTATCAGATTATTTTGTATTTGTTCTTGTGCTATATCTGGAGTTTTCTGGAGGCATTTCAAGGGGGCATATTCTGACATCAATGCTAAACTGGAGGTACTTGTTGTGAGTGGGCCGTCAAGGGTGCCCCCAAGCACACAGCAGGGGGTGCAGGTGAGGCTAAGAGAGCTGAACCTGAGGATGGCAGGTAGGCATCTGCTCAGGGTGATGACAGAGCACCCTGGGGCCTGGGTGTAACCAGGGCTTTGGTCCTGCCCCAGCCCCCGGCTGTCATAAAACCCTGATTCAGCAAAGACCATTACAATCCCCACCATGGGCTCAGGCCTGGAAAGAATATCCCCTCCTCATCTCGTAGAGGAGAAAATCAGAACTAGAGCAGAGGACCGAGGGGGTAGAGCAGGCCGGACCTGTATTTTTTTCCCTCAGACTCTGGGTTTAGTTTTTAAACCAACCTGTGTACAGCACCCCAATGTGCTGGGTGCTCCTGCTTGCAGCCAGTGCAGCAAACTCAGAGGTGGGCTAAGGGTTATTCCTGTACCAGATTTCACAGCATGCCAGGGAAGCAAAGCTGCCTGACAAAGGCTGCCATAGTCAAATCTCCCACTCCTACTGTCACCTGAATTTATGAGGCAGCAAGGCTGAGTGGTAGGGTGGGAAGGTTAGAGTTGCACTCGGGCCCCACCCCCTGACCCTCTGCACCCAACAATGCTCCCTACATTTCCCCTAGGAGTTTGTATGCAGACAAAAGCCTCAAAGGAAGACAACCAGGGCTATGCCTATTCCCAGAAAGGGGTTGTGTCCAATGTTCCTGGTGGGGACCACACAGTGATGTCTTCTTCCAGACCCTGTTCTCACTGTGGAAGGACAAGGCTACTTGGAGAAGAAAGCCCCACACAGCACTGGTCTTGACTGGGGCCTACATACCACAGCATGTCGTTCAAGTCCTTTGACATCATCCACGCCAGGTCAAACATCACCATGGCTGACTGAAAGAAAGAAAGAAGCCTGAGGTCCAAGGCAGCTGTGCTCCTAGGCAGGGTGTGCACCAGGGCTGGGTTGTCCAGGATCCCAGCCAAGCCCCTGCAGATTGAAGGTTTTCCCAACTAGGGAAGGAAGCATTGGTGGATTCCAGGCCAAACCAAGGGAGGAAGACAGAGGACCTCAAGTCATCTGCATGGTCTCCTCTGTTAACTAGTCATTTCTATGTACATACTTCATCGTGCAAGGGAGAACACCTGAGTACAGCACTGTGCTAGTGCCTCTACACATCTCACTGGGTCCCTCAGTGATACCTGGGGAGGCAATGAAGCCAGGAGGTTAGGGACCTTTGTCCACACGCTCCTCCTGGCTGGCTGGCAGGCTTACACACACTCTCAGGAAGGCTGGATGAAGCAGGGCCTTGGTTCTCATCACCTGGTCGTTAAAGAGGAAGGGTGCTTCAGGACCTCTGTGAGGAAGATCTTTCTAACAGGGCTGTCTGCAGACAGAAGCAACTAACTCCCTGTGAGCATAGTCTGGGTTTTGGTAGGAGACAACAAGGGGTATCATTGTCTGACCAGAAGATTCTAAAGTCCCATTGGCTGTGCGATGCTGGGCTGCCCACCAGAGAGGATTTCCAAGGGAATGATTCACAAATCTGGAGGGAGCTGGGCGTCTGCTGCCCCACCCACCTCCCACTGCTTGGAATTTTCCATGTGCTGGGGCAGAGCAGAGAGGGAAAAAGATGATCTTTCAAAGGACAATGAGATCTTGATACTAAAAGGGATACTGGAAATATGGCACTCAGAGTTCAAGGCCCCAGGGCCAAATGCTAACACCGAACACATATTTTACTGGAAACTAATTTTCTTTTTTTTTTTTTTTTTCAACGTTTATTTATTTTTGGGACAGAGAGAGACAGAGCATGAACAGGGGAGGGTCAGAGAGAGAGGGAGACACAGAATCGGAAACAGGCTCCAGGCTCTGAGCCATCAGCCCAGAGCCCGACGCGGGGCTCGAACTCACGGACCGCGAGATCGTGACCTGGCTGAAGTCGGACGCTTAACCGACTGCGCCACCCAGGCGCCCCAGGAAACTAATTTTCTAGGGATCCTTACAGCCTTGAGCTCTGCTCAACAGTACCAGAGTCAGGGACACCTGGGTGGCACAGTTGGTTAAGCGTCCGACTCTTGATCTCGGCTCAGGTCAAAATCTCACAGTTCATGAGTTCAAGCCCCGCATCAAGGTCTGCACTGATGACGCAGAGTCTGCTGAGGATTCTCTCTCCTTCTCTCTGCCCCTCCCCTGCTTGTACATGCTTTCTCTCAAAATAAGTAAACAAACTTAAAAAAAAATTTTTTTTTAATTAAACAAAACAAAGCAAAAAAATTCCTGCCACAGTCAACACAGTAGGTTTTCCATGTGAAATTCTGTTCCATAACACATGCAGTGATGGGCCTCGGTAATTATAAACAGACTTGTTCTGTATTTTTTATGGTGAACAAAAATAATAGCTGTTGTCCTTTGGGCACCTATTGGGTGTGCAGGATCATCCTAACAACTGCCTCTGAAATGAGGGCTGTTCTCTTCCTTTTATGGAGGAGCAAAAGTTTAAGTCTCAGAGAGGCTGCCCCACATGCCCTAGGTCACACAGCAGAAGTTGTGAGGCTCAGATTCAAATCAGGCTTTTATGGTTCTAAAAATTTTTTTTTTTTAACGTTTATTTTTGAGACAGAGAGAGAGCATGAACGGGGGAGGGGCAGAGAGCGAGTGAGACACAGAATCTGAAACAGGCTCCAGGCTCTGAGCTGTCAGCAGAGAGCCCAACGCGGGGCTCAAACTCATGGACCGTGAGATCATGATCTGGACCGAAGTTGGACATCTAACCACCTGAGCTACTCAGGCACCCCAGGCTTTTGTGGTTCTAAAACATATGCTCATTTCTCCTCATGTTTTAGGTCACTGACCCTTGAGTCAGAATTTTATGGTGAAGTACACCTATTCGTACATACCGACGTCCCATGATATTCATACTGTTCATAGTCAAAGAGGATGTCTCTTCTGTAATGACATAAAATGCAGTTCTTCAACAGGAAGCAGTACAAGGAAGACAAACATTTGGAAAATGCTAAAACTTGACAGTAATCAAAGAAACACATTAAGTCACAGTACTCTTTGTATTCGCTTATGGACTGTTTCAGAGTGCACATGTGCAATGCAGGAAAGGGAGCAATATTGACATAAAAGTCTTGTGGCAATGAAAGAAGTAAAATGGCATAGAATAATCTTAGAATCCCACTTTTATCCTAAGACAACAATTCAAAGGAACAAGCAAGACAACACTATGTGCACAAACACAATTGTTCATTGCAGCCTTATCTGTCATGCAAAATACCAGAAGTAACCTCCAGTTTGAAAAGGAGATTGGCCATATAAGTATAATGCAAGTCATAAAAGTGTTGGAACTATCAAAAATGGTTAGATTAAGTAAAAACAATGCAAAATTAGGTGTGTGTTATGATCACATAAAAAATACATAAGTATGGATACCCCAGGAAGATTGATTCAAAGCCAGAATCTCTTCCAATCATTGAATAGGGATTATATTCACTTTCCTTTTCATTGCACTTCCCGAAATATATTTTCATTGTCCTTTCATGAGGGAGTAGCCAAGTACAACGCCCTCAGTTGGAACAGCAGAGACTTTCAGGGACTGGATCAAGTAACGAATACTCAACTCAACGGCACTGTGGCACGGTCACCTCAAGCTACAATAATCTTTCCATTTTTTTATTTTAGAGTGCTTCAATTTTTTTAAATATTTATTTACTTTTAAGAGAGAGAGAATCAGCGCATGAGTGGAGGAAGGGCAGAGACAGAGGCACAGAATTCAAAGCAGGTTCCAGACTCTGAGCTGTCAGCACAGAGCCTAAAGTGGGGCTCGAACAAATGAACAGTGAGATCGTGACCTGAGCTGAAGTCAGATGCTTACCGACTGAGCCACCCAGGTGCCCCTGGAGCACTTCAATTTTTTAATTTGCAATATGAAGAGGAATTATAGATAATTCAGTTTTCTTCTCATTCACATTTTCTATGAAAACTTTTATACAATTAGCATCTATCTCATTTAGGAAGAACTTACAAATAAAACTATATCTGGAAAAACAACAAAAATAAAAGACAAGGGGCTGTTATGCCTAACAGAGAGCAGAAGACCTCTGGGCCCAGTCCTGCCACTTGTAAGACCACAGCATGATACAGAGGGGATCCAGAGCTCTTCTCCGATACAGGGAACACATGCTCACTCCTGGAGCCACCAGCCCAGAGACTCTACACTAACTGAACTGGGGGTGCCTGGGTGGCTCATTTGGTTAAGCATTCAACTCTTGATTTTGGCTCAGGTCATAATCTCACGATTCATGAGATTGAGCCCTGCGCCAGGCTCTGCAATGACAGCGCAGAGCCTGCTTGGAATTCTCCCTCTCTCTGCCCCTCCCCTGGTCGCATACACTCTCAATCTCTTTCTCTCTCTCTAAATGTATTGTCCTCAAATGCAAAAAAAAAAAAAAAAAGAAAGTATCCAGTCGCCATGGAAAACATAGGTATCCCAGAGGGATTGCAGACTCCATGGCACAGGGTGCTGCTTAAAGTACACACTCACCTCCGAGCCTCCCACTCTCTTCGCTGCCTCCTCTTCATGGTTTGTGCCACTATCTCCTGATGTAGGGACAAAGAGAACAAAAGGTTGAGCAAATAGGGGAGGCTGGGTGGCTCAGTTGGTTAAGCATCTGACTCTAGCTCAGGTCATGTTCTTAGAACTTGTGAGTTCGAGCTCCACATCAGGCTCTGTAGTCAGAGCCTGGAGACTGCTTCAGATTCTGTGTCCCCCTCTCTCGGCCCCTCCCCTGCTCATGTGCTATCTCTCTCTCCTTCAAAATAAGCATTAAAAAAAAAGTTGAGCAAATAAGCCAGGAATGTACCCCTGTAGCCCGAGAAGGTTCTGATCAGGCAGAAGCCACTGGGCATGGACCCCTGAGGGAAAACATGGGTCATTCATTCCCATGTCCTGAGCTCAGCCCGGTCCTAGAGAAGAGAAGAACTGAAGTGGGGGATGATTGAGACCTCTCTAGCCCACTGGCACTACAGACACCATATGGTGGACAGAAGCAGATGCTTCCCCAGTGCCTGCTCAGGCTACACTCTGTCCATGTGCTCCGTCTGTCCACTCCAGCCTTCCATCATCCCCATCACTGTGTGATCCAGAAGTGCATAGCTACTCCATACTGGCTTCCCCGCCAGATCACTAAGCACTAATGTTACCAATATCCTTCCACGTACCAGCCACTGGGTTTTTTGTTTTGTTTTGTTTTGTTTTGTTTTGTTTTGCTTATAGATCCTAGACTTGGAGCTGAAGAAGCCAGCAACCTGGAAACCCTAACAGGCACAGAGAAAAAAAATCCTCAACAAAAGCCAAAGGATCCTGAAGAGCAGCCTTGAAAGACAAAAAACTTTTAGACAATAATTGGTCTAACCCAGCCACCACGACCAAAAACTGTGGCCCCACCCCTATCCACTTGGCAAAGACGAAGTAGAAGCCTAGACTCCCACCCTGGTGAATACCTCCCACCTGTAACACTTCCACCTTTCACTTGTAACATCTCCCAACATGCTCACTGGGGTGGTATCAGAGGAGGCCAAGTAGTGAGCCTAGACCTTTCTTGCCCAGTGATAACAAGGAGCCACTCCTCTTAGTGGTTAATGGAGGTTAAGTGGAGAATCTTTACTTCTATCTCCACCTGGCTATAAAGAGACATGCTGCCCACCTGCTCCTTTGCCAGAATGATGTCAGAGAAAGCAGGTAACACAGAAGGCTTAATTAAGATCCAGAGTCTCAAAACATAATATAAAAATGTCCAGGTTTCATTTGAAAAGCACTCATCACACCAAGAGCCAGGAAAATCTCAAACTGAACACCAAAACAGGAAATCCATAAATGTTAATGCAAAGATGACAAAGATGTGAGAATTATCTGACAAAAATTTTTAAAGTAGCCATCACAAAAATGCTTCAATGATTAAAAACACAGTTGAAACAAAAGAAAAAAAATAGGAAGCTTTAGTAAATAAGTAGAAAAATGAAGAAGAACCAAAATGAAATTTAAAACTGAAAATTACAATAACTGAAATAGAAACTCAGTAGAGGGGCTCAAGAGCAAAACGGAGGAACAGAGGAAAGAATCAGCAGATACGATGATAGAAAATATCCAGTCTGATTAATAGAGGGGTAAATGGACTGGAAAAACAAACAAACAAACAAACAAACAAACAAACAAACAAACAGTAACATGTGAACCTACAACAAAAGACCTAACTTTCCTGTCATTGGTGCCCTGGAAGGAGAGGAAAAAAAAAAGGGTGAAAACACCCTGGAATAAATAATGCCTGAAAACAAAGAAATATAGCTCAAAATCTGGCAAGAGATATAAACCTACAGATTCAAGAAGCTGACTGAATCCCAATAGGTTAAACCCAAAGAAATCCACACCAAGACACATCGTAATTAAACTTCTGAATATTAGAGCCCCCATTTTTTTTTTTTTAAATCTCAAAAAAAGCAAGAGAAAAATGACATCTTATGTATAGGATAAAACAGTATGAATGCCAGCAGATTTCTCACTAGAAACCACAGGGGCCAGAAGTAGCATAACATTTTCAAGCACTGACCAAAAACAGCTGTTAACCCCAAATCCCATACCCTGTGAAAATATCTTTCAGGAATGAAGGGAAAAGTCAAGAAATTCTCAGGAAAAGGAATACTAAGAGAATTTACTGCCAGCAGAGTGCCTCTAAAAAAAGTTAAAGGACTTTCTGTAAATAGAAAATGACAAAAGAAAAAACCTTGGAACATCAGGATGGAAGGAAGAACGGGTAAATACAATAGGCTTTCCTTATCCTCTTGAGTTTTAGAATAGAATCATGTTTGATTGTTGAAGCAAAATTTATACCATTGTATGAGGTGGATCTAAATGTACACAGAGAATATAAATAAGAAACTCAAATAAACAGAGAAGAGTAAGGGAAGTAAAGGAAGGTAACGTTTCCATATTTATAGCCTGTTGTCTCTAAATCTCTTTGAGTGTACACTCTTATTAATAAAAATATTTCTGGGGCGCCTGGGTGGCTCAGTCGGTTGAGCGCCGACTTTGGCTCAGGTCACGATCTCGCGGTCCGTGAGTTCGAGCCCCGCATCGGGCCCCTGTGCTGACAGCTCAGAGCCCAGAGCCTGTTTCAGATTCTGTGTCTCCCTCTCGCTGACCCTACCTCGTTCATGCTCTGTCTCACTCTGTCTCAAAAATAAATAAATAAACGTTAAAAAAAAAAAATTAAAAAAAAAATATTTCTGAGAATATATCTTGAATCCACGTATATTTACAAATCATGAAGATTTAATTACCGTTGAGGTAGTCTCAGAGGGCTAACTTACCAAAATCAAATATGTAGCCCTAAACTTGGATTACTGAAAACACAAGGATAGAGGAGCAAGTAAAAGTATTCCACAAACAAGTGATAAATACTAGACAACTGGATTGGCCTCCAATGTCATTCAAAACAAAACAGAAAAAAAAAAAAAAGAAAAAAACAAAAAGAGTGGGGTCCCAGTCTAGGTGAAAAGACAATTAAGAGGGGTGTCTGGCTGGCTCAGTCAGAGAAGCGTGTGACTCTTGATCTCAGGGTCATAAGTTCCAGCCCCATGTTGGGTGTAGATATCACTTTATTAAAAAAAAAAAAAAAGAGAGAGAAATAGCTAAACGCAAATGTGCCAGCCCTGGTTGGATGACACTTCAGAAACAAAAGCAGCTGCAAAATCTATTATGGGGAACAAGTGAAATTTGAATATGGGTTGAATATTAGAGGACACCGTTAATTGCTTACATACAATAATGGTATTGCATTTACAGAGGAGAATGATCTTAGAAGATGCGTTTTTTTGTTTTTGTTTTTTAACATTTATTTATTTTTGAGAGACAGAGCATGAGCAGGGGAGGGGCAGGGAGAGAGAGGGAGACACAGAATCCGAAGCAGGCTCCAAGCTGTCAGCACAGAGCCAGATGCGGGGCTCGAACTAACAAACCGCGAGTTCATGACCTGAGCGGAAGTCAGACGCTTAACCGACTGAGCCACCCAGGTGCCCTGAAGATGCGTTTTAAAGTCTATTTATTTAGGGGCATCTGGGTGGCTCAGTCAGTTAAACATCCAACTCTTGATTTCAGCTAAGGTCATGATCTCACAGTTTGTGGGATCGAGCCCCTCATTGGGTTCTTTGCTGACAGTGTGCAGCCTGCTTTGGATTCTCTTTCTCCCTCTTTTTCTGCCCCTCCCCTGCTCGCATACATGCATGCTCGCGCTCTCTCTCTCTCTCTCAAAATAAATAAATAAACACTTTAAAAAGTAGATAAAGCTTATTTATTTTGAGAGAGAGAATGCATGTGCCTGGGGGCGGTGGGGGACAGAGAGAGAAGGAAAGAGACAGAATTCCAAGCAGACTCCACACTGTCAGCACAGAGCCCAATGAGGGCTTGAACCAACAACCTGCAAGATCATGACTTGAGCTGAAATCAAAAGTCAGATGTTTAAATGACCAAGCAACTTAGGTCCCCCTGCAACTTATTCTCAAATGATTAAGCAAAAGAAAAAAATATACATATATATATATAAAAGAAGGCAAATGTGGCAAAATGTGACAAATGTGCAAAATTGCTGAATCTATATGAAAGGTATACGGGCATTCATTATACCATCCTTTCAACTGTTGTATACATCAAAAATTTTTTTAAAATAAAAAATCAGTGGGAAATTATGCATGTTACACATGCATAATTATGCATGTGAATATCATAGAAAGCATTCACAAACTCAGATTCTAAATAGATGCATTAAACATGTCAATGGAGGCTCTGACATGTTCTGACATCTCATCAAGACCAACGACATTCTCTTTACTGACAAACCCTCCTGTCAGTTCTAGCCTGCCTGTTCTTCCCTCAGAGCCCTCGTGTCTGGGGACACTGCACTTGATGTACCTTCTAGGGATATTCTTGGTTCTTTCCTTCCTCATTCAGGTCAAGTGTCCATAGCCACCTTCATAAAAGCAGCCCATTCCCTGTCCAGCCCCTTACCTTGCTTTATTTTTCCTGATATGACACAGCTCTCCACCTGAAACCATCCTTGACCTGTGCTCATTCCTGATGCCTCCCCCACTGGAAAAGAAGCTTTGTGAAGACAGGAATTTGTTCTCTCCCAGAGACACCAGGGCCTTACTGACACCTGGCACAGAGTAGGTGCTGAAATATATTAGTCAGGATGGAGAATTCTAAGACTCTTATCTGCAGAACGTGAATGTTTCCAAAGAAAATCCCCCAGATACTGATATTTGGAGCCTGATGAAAAGCGGTTCGTTAATAGTTAAAAGAATGCTACAACAAAAAGGAGCTTTAGATAACAAAAAAAGAGCTGTTAGAAATCAAAGATTAGAAGATAAAGACCAGATGTTGGCCAGAGAGTGGAACAGATGAAGAGCTAGACAAGATGAAAGAGAATCTAAGAATGTATCTGAGGTCTCTGATCAGACTACCCAAAACTCTAGAGAAAGGATGGCTCAAAGGCAGGGAAGGTAAGGAGAAAACACTCCCAGGACACACCACTCAGATGGACAGAGTGTACTGAATGTCCCCAAAATGGCTCAAAAGAGCTCTGCTAAAGCACCTTATTGGGAAATGTCAGGCCAAGGATGAAACATTCCAGAGGCAAATTTCAGCATGGACACCCAGGACTGGGAATCAGAGGGCATCAGCTTCTTCCACAACACTGAACACTAGAATAAAACATGGCCCTATTAGAGGAACAACCACCTCCCACCTTTAATTTTCCATGTAGCAGAAGCCACCAGTGTTGGGCAGGCCACTTCTGTTGGCCAGGCCCCAGATCGGGTAAGCATCTCAGACCCAAGACTCACGAGGCTCAAACAACTCTAATCTTTGCACACAAGATGCTTCCCCTGGAATCACCACTGGAGACTGAGCCTGGCTGAGGGCCATAGATCCATGTCGTTCCTTCATGATGACTGCAGAGAATCCGGAGGGGAGTGGGGAAGGGAGAGGATGTTTATGCTATTTATCGTTTCTCTGTATTGCTGCCTTTTTTTTTAATGTTTATTTACTTTGTGAGAGAGAGAGAGAGAGAGAGAGCATGAGCGAGCATATGAGCAGGGGAAGGGTAGAGAGAGGGAGAGAGAATCCCAAGCAGGCTCTGTACTGTCAGTGCAGAGCCCAACATGGGGCTTGAACCCACAAACTGCAACCCCACGACCTGAGCTGAAATCAAGAGTTGGATGTTTAACTGACTGAGCCACCCAGGTGCCACTTTCTGTATTGCTCAGCAAAGAGCTGAGCTATCCTAAGTTTCATTTCATCTGATGAAATTCTACTGTACAGACAAGGATGCCAAAGCTCAGAGAAGTTCGGTAGCCCGCCTGAAGCCATGCAGCCAGGGGATAGCAGAGTCCAGGGTCAATACCGGTGCCTGCTGAATCCCAGCCACCCCTGGATCCCGAAGGCTCCAGCCTGAGCTCTGACCTCTGGGAATGACGTTACTCAAGATTGTGGTAAGGCCAAAACCCACCTCTTCTAACCGTGTGCGCTTCACAGAAGGCTCTGACCCATTGTCACTTTCATTTCCTGAATGCTCTTCACCTTCTTCTTCATCCCTGAAGATATCATCATAGGCAGGAACTTCGAGATCATCATCTTGTTTAATGAGTAGTTTGATCTAAGATTAAAATAAAAAGCCATCAAGGCTCTCTTCTCTCATTGACAGAAAACTCTCCATTACATGTTTTCTCTTACAGAATCTTATTTCCCAATGAGCTGACTCATTAAGGTTTCTGTACAAAGAGCCACTTGAGAATTTCAGACTTCTCAAACATTTTCTTGCTTTCATTTCCTCTCAGAGGCATTGGAGTTGCACCACGCGATATGCAAAAATTCCAAAAATTAAAAAACTATCCAGTCATGTAAGTCTGGGGAAAAGACTCCCTCTCATGCCACACTCCAAGCAAACAAAATGAACACCCCACAACTTGGACTCTGAGAGAAGACAGGGAGGTGTGCAACCCCTAAGGGAGTAAAACTGCTGTCTCTAAAAGCAGTTCCAGGCTGACTTCACTTAGAGTGGTCCCTCACATGAGAACATCAGGGCCACCACTTTGATAACATGGGTGGGATCAACTCAGAGAATGGTTAGGTGGCTGTCCTGTGCCAGGCTCCATGTTTGCTGCTGGGGGTTCAAAGAGGAAGCACAGCATGGCCATGTTAGGCTAACAGTGGTCTCTTACACTATTGTCTTGTTGGTCCTCACACTACCCTTTGGATGGGCAGGGCAGGCCCTAGCCCCACTTGTAGGGCTAACGCCTCTAGATCCCCTAGTATTCAATGACACCAGGCTGGGCCTCAGCTCGCAGGGCAGGCTCAGTGCAGGGTTCTGGTCCCTACACTTTCTAGGTTAAGTGAATTCCAAAATGCATTCTGAGCGCCTCCAAGACTTACTTAGGTGCTATGTTTCTCACCACAGATAAGCAAGACCAGATTCTTGCCCTCAGGCTGGTCTAACTCTTGTAGGAGAGGTGGATACATGCCTTGCTTAGAACATCAGGTGCAATGTTGCCCATGGCATAAAAGGTACAGACAAAGGATAGAACTTGGGGAAGACATGGGCCCCAAAGGCCTAGTTACCTGGGTGTCATTATAGACATTCACGACATTAACTGGCCTGTGGGTGTCACACACAAAAAATATGGCATCTTCATCAGGCTGAAGGATATCCAATAGGTCTACATTAGCTCCACAGTTTATGAGAATAAAATAATGGAACTGAAAAAAAGAGAGAGACATTGGGAAGTAAGTGCCTTGAGTAGATCCTTTACCTTCAGCATATTAGGTCTCTGAGTCCTTCTGCTGAGACATATCAAGCCCCTGACACCAGTGAGGCCCTGATGGCAAGGGGCTTTACACAGCTGGCCTGTGTGAAGTGCTTTAATATACTACATATGCCATTTCATTTCCATGATGACACCTTGAGATAGGCCCCATGGGCAGCCCTGTGGCTGTCTCTGCTTCACCAAGGAGCACATGGAGGTTCAGCATGACTCAGTCTCATGCACAGGGTCAAGAAGTTGATGAGGAGCAGAACAAGACTTCAAATGCATAAATGGGCCTCTGCAGGGGTACCTGGGTGGCTCAGTCAGTTAAGCATTTGACTTCTATGTCTCTCTCTCTGCCCCTCCCCGACTCACGCTTTCTCTCTCTCTCAAAAATAGACATTAAAAAATAATAATAATATGGGGCGTCTAGGTGACTTCGGCTCAGGTCATGATCTCACTGTTGGTGAGTTTGAGCCCCGTGTCAGGCTCTGTGCTGACAGCTCAGAGCCTGGAGCCTACTTCGGATTCTGTGTCTCCCTCTCTCTGCCCTCCCCTGCTCATGCTCTGTCTCTCTGAAAAATAAATAAGCATTAAAAAAAATTTTTTAATAAGTAAATAAACGGGCCTTTGAAGATCTCAGTCACTCTACTGTGCTGCCTCTCTGTACTGACAGTGTCGTACAGGTTTAAATTTGTAACAAGTCTCGGGCACCCCATGCTTAATAAGCATCTAAATATCATTTTAAGTCTTACTATATCCTATCTCTATAAAGAACCTTTTGCTTATAAATATCAGGTTGGTACAGGTAGCTCCTTCCGTGATGACAGGAGCTCCAGGCAAGGATTATCTCTGGACAGTCCTAAATGTTGCCACAGACTCCAGAGACCCTCTTCCCTACTCCAGTCCCATCCAGTGGGATCTAAAATGTCCCATCTCTCAGCATAACCCCATGCAGAGGTGGTAAGAGTCCTGGCCTCTACTGTTTAAATTGCAAAGGGAGAAGATATGTTCCTGGATTACCAGTTGGAACTGGGATACTTTCTCTTGGAAAGATAATGTAAAATAGCCACCTTATCTAACATAATTTTAACTAGGCCATATCAAAATCAAACTGCTAAACTCTAAGCACCTTACAATGAAATGTCTGCAACACAAATTCAAAGTTAGACGGTGTCCACATTCACTATCTTTTTTGGTTATCAATTCTGTCTCTACAACTTGAGAGTAAGTCACTCTGCATATATCTCATTTTTTCCTTCCATATTGCCTAATGTAGTTGATACTTAAACATACAAGCAACCTATTGAGGACCTAGAAAGCATGCTAGTGTTAAATTGCAACTGAATAAAAAAAAAAAAAAAGACTAATGACTCTAAAATGCTTCTATCATACCTGTTCTTTATGCTCAAGAAATGCAGTTTCAAGTTCTTGCCACCCAGAAACCGGAACCAGCGTATACTGCACGTGATCACACTGGAACAGAGCCTGAGAGAGATCATTTCCAAAAGTTATCATATTTAGGACGTCTGCAATTTACTTTGAAATGCACTTAAAAAAAAATAAGGTTGAGAAACGAATGACCTGTGATAAGTTTAGTAAAATGTTAATGGAAGAAACTAGGTGATAGAAATATGAGTGTTGACTATATCATTCTGTGAACTTTAATGAATTTTTGAAAATCACCAAAGGAAAACATCGAGGGTGGGGGAGGCTTATTTTATTTCTAGGTCTTCGGGGAAGTAGTTCCTGACCCAACAGCCTGATCAAAGGTCATGTAAAAATTGCACCATATTCAAAACCGAACCAATGATCTTCCCTAATAGAGAAAAGAATCCTGTATTTCCTATATTGCTTATGACACCACTGTGCCCTCAGTTGTCACAGACTCCTCTGAAACCCCACATTTGAGAAGCCACTCCAGGTCTAACGGTCTCTCCAACGCAACCATTTTTCAGCCAGGTTATTGCAAAAATACTAACTGCCTTTTGCCGCATCCTTCTCTAACCCACCCAATACTCTTGCCAGAGAGGCGACCTCTAAAAGTCCCTCTCCCCAGATTTCAGTTGCTCCAGCACCCTACCCTAGCCTGCACTCTCTCCTGGCGGGTGGGGAGAAGAGCGGTTCCCTATGCGCTCCTCACCTCCTGCGCCGACTCCCAGCCGATCCTGCACTCCTAAACTCTTCCCGGGGCCCCGCCTGCTCCCCCACCCTTTGGCCCTGGCCCTTCCCTCCCCAAATACGCAAGGCTCACCTGAAGAATCTTGCAAGCGCACAGAGCGTCCACGTCCGAGGCCACAAAGAGAAGGACCCTCTGTCAGGAAAAGAGAGGGCCAGTTGAACGCAGAGAACAGAACTCGGGCCCCTCGTGCCCTCCCAGGGCCGCTCCCCCGGATCCCCCACCCCCCCCCCCCAAGGCCACGAGATGTAAGAAAAAGGGTCACCTGGTTTTGAACCACCTCGTAGAACTCCTTGCGGAAATCGGACACAAACATGGCCACGGCGGCCGGACACCCAGAGCTAGCGCTGAGGATCCAAGAGCTCCGGCGGCGGTCAAGACTCCCGCCAAACAGGGACTCTTCCGATTAGCCCAGAAGCCAACCAATACCTACTTAGTTCTCAGCTTTTCCCTCTTCCCGATTGGGCCATATTGGAGGCGGGCCTAGCGCTCCGCCAACCGGGCTGGAAATGTTAGGCCCGCTCCTAAAGGAGCGTCATCCACAAGCAAGACGCAAACAATGTTGCCCACTTCAGTTCTGACTCCCTTTTACCCACAAATCCGACGTTTGGTGGACATCTTTAGTTTGGGAAGAGAAGCCTATTGCCTCCCACTGGGCCCTCCAGGAAAAGGAAATCACGCCATAAATTCAATTCACTTACACATTGAACGAAGTCGTCAGTTAACGATTTCGGTAAACCCTCGGCATAGTTCGAAGGCAAATTTGTAGCTTACTTCCGCCAGCTTCCTCGATGGCTGACGCAAAGGCTGGAAGGTCTACGTGCATTCTGGGTAGTGTAGTAGATAAGGAGAATGGGCCCCACTAAATTGGTCTAGAGGGGAGTACTATAAAAATGTAATTTTAAAAAATTACACAAATTACCCTAGAGTGAACGAAAATTATGAAATAGTATTTTAGTAAATATCCCAGTGAAATTTTAGGCCCTAGAGCCATTGCCTGGCCTTTTCCCTTTTGTAACCGACCGCTGTCCTCCGTACCTACCCCCGGGTCCCGGGTCCTGCACTTCCGGTGAGCCTCCCAGGGCGTCGGAGCGGAAGCGGCGGCGGCGGCTTCGGCGGCTTCGGCGTCTGTGAGCTGAGAGGGTCGGCGGGCTCCCATCCTAACGTTCTCTGGGTGAAGCGGCATCTGCCAGGCAGAGGTGTCCACCATGGTGAGTGTGGCCTGTCAGGGTCTGGGAGCTGGGGCTGGGGCCTGGAGCCAGGGGCCGAGGCCGGGCCCGGCGGGGCGGACAGAAACGGCCACGGAGATGCCGAGTCACCCCCGCCGGGCGAGTGCCGGACCCTTGACCACGATCGGCCTCAGCTTATCTCCGGTAGTCCTGGGCATGGTTCGAATTTCCTCTCAGTTGGACTTGAACTCCTTCAGGGTGAAAACTCTTCTACGTTTGTGTCCACTCACGGGTCTCAAAAGTGCTATACAGGTGACAGGTTTCCATTCCACCAAATTAATTGAAAGGTTGGGCGTGAGCAGCAGAGTCAGCCCCCCTAGGGAGAATGCTTGGGAACCCTTCCGGTGGGCCGGAACACTCAGCCCTTGAGCCAGTTCCTCAAGCACAGTACCTCTTGGTCTTGGCTGGGTTGTAATGATGCCTTCGGCTATTTAAGTGATTCAGTGGATAACAACAGTAGTAGCTAATTGTTGCTGGCGCTTTTTCTCTTACACTTCTTTCAACTGAAACCCACAGTCCCTTATTACACCTTATCCCATTTAATCCCTACTATGCCCTTGGAGACAAGGACGATTAGTATGATTTTAACCATGAAAAAAACAAGGTTTAAGGAAGTAGGTAGTTTACTGGTAGTCAAAGAAGCGGGTAGTGGAAATTTGAGGCCAAGTCTGTCTGGATGCAATGCTGAGTCTCATTACTGTTGTACAGCATTGCCTCAGTGTCATTTGCTTATTTTAGCAAAAATAATGACTACTAGGTTTTGTCCCAAGTATTTCATTGTTGAATCATGTTTCCATTCTCAAGTTCATCCTCATCCACTTAAAGACCCTGAATACCTGATAGGTCTAGGCAGTATACTAGACATTGGGATTATGAAGGAAAGTAGGACTTGAGGTAGGGAGCAGCAGAGAGGGGCAGAAGGTCAGGTTCATGGGTGGATTGAAGGCAGATTGTTAAGGGTGTTACATACTTCGTGGGGATTTTCTGACTTAATGAGGAACAAAAGCAAAGAGAAAAAATGCCTTGGATGGGCTGGTGTAGTGAAAGCCTCAGGGAAGCCCCACCCCACGCTCTACCTTCACATTTGCTATGCTTCTGGCCAAGACTGTTGAACAGAGTTCTGCTTAAAGGAAGGAGAGACAAAGGTTTGAAAACTACTGTGCTAAAGCCCCAGGGATTGAAGAGCCATTTGAGATTTTAAGCAGTAACTTGCTGTGTTTGCATTTTAAGAAGACTGCAGATTCATCTTGCTAATTTTGATTTTGGAATTGCTAGTAAACTACCTAATCAGGCTTTGTCTCTACTTGATGTATATTTGGAATCAAGTCAAGAAATATTTGTCTATTGTGAAATATTTTTTAAAACTTGTAAAAACCACATAAATTTACCATCTTAACTGTTTTAAAGCATAGATTCTGTAGTGTTAAGTATATTCGCATTGTCGTGTATTAGATCTTCAGAAGTTTTTCATCTTGCAAAACTGAAATTCTACCTATTAAACAACAGTTCCCCCCATTTCCCCTCACTTACCCCCTGGCAACCAACATTTAATTCTTGTCTCTATGAATTTGATGGCTCTAGAGACCTCCTATAAGTGAAATCATATAACATTTGTCTTTTTGTGACTGGCTTATTTCTCTTGAGCATAAAGTCCTCAAGGTTCATCCACGTTGTAGTATGTGATAAAGTTTTCTCCCTTTTAAAGGCTGGATAATATTCTATTATATGGGTGTACTACATTTTGTTTATCCATTCATCTGTTGATGGACACTTGGATTGTTTCTATCCCTTAGCTATTATGAATAATGTCGCTATGAGCATGTGAACATCATACAAATATCTTTTCAAGACCCTGCCTTCAATTCTTTTGGGTTTATGCCCTATAGTGCAATTTTATATTTGGTTGGGGGGACGTCATGGCAATTGCAATACTTTGAGAAGACTCCAAATTGCTGTGTAAAATGTTTTCTAAGCCTCACCATAGTCCACAAGTTAAGAGCTGGGATATTAACTTTGGTGGCACAATATCTTGGCTCTACTTATTAGCAGGAGGGACTACCATGGCATAACACCATGAAAGCACATTGGAGGGGCATCAGTCCAAACCCTGGGCAAAGCAAGGAAGGTTCCTGGAACGAGGAAAGGATGGTCATGGAAGCCAGGGGAAAGGGACGGGGTGCAAATGCTGGGTGCCTGCTCTTCCTGTTGTCTGGAATGCCATTCCCTGTTTTTTACCTGGCTCCCTCCTGGCACTCAAGTCTTTGCAGAGTCCCTTCCTGACCACCCATTTAAAATAGCATTCTCAGGAGCTTTCCCTTACCCCGTCTTGTCCTTAGAGCATTTATCAGTATCAGACGTGGAAACATTTTCTCTTACTTGATTCCCTTGTCTTGAATGTCAGCTCCTCCAGGGGCAGATGTTGTACCTGTTTTGTTAGTGAGCAAACATCATTAGAGTGTTTTGCTAGTGCTTAGCTCAGAGCCTGGCAGATAGTGGGCACTCAATAGATGTTTTGGCGGAGGCATCTAGGTGGCTCAGTCGGTTCAGCATCTGACTTCGGTTCAGGTCATGCATGATCTCACGGTTTGTGAGTTCGAGCCCACATTGGGTGAGCTCAAGCCCCGCTCCAGGATCTGCACTCTCTCCCTCTCTCTCTCTGCACCTTGGGGGATTCTGTCTGTCTGTCTGTCTCTCTCTCTCTCTCTCTCTCTACCCCTTGCTCACTCGGGCACTCAGATAGATAGATTTCTTTAAATTAACAAGAAGAGGGTAAGTGTTTCTGTTGGAGAAACCAGGTGTGGCCGGTGTAGGAGATTGTAAGGGCTGTCAGTAGCCAGTCCCTGAGGTGTATGTGAGATCTGGCCTGGATCCTGGGGGAGTGGAGGCATGGGAGACTGAAAGAAGTTAATGACAGGCTTGACGTGGCCAATCATATATTTTAGTAAGATTTAGTAAGAAAGCAGTAGACTCTAGATTGGAGGGATGATACTGGGCATGGCAGAATGTGTAGAAACAGATTTGAGATTCACTGTGCCACCGGGAAGTGCTTCAGGCAGACTGCTCTGGTCCATCAGGATTGCCGTGCATCTTGCCCTTTATACACGTGCAGCAGCATCAACTACCCTGACCTGTTTGGGCTTTTGACGTGAAGAGATGTACCTTTGTTCTGTTCTAACTCCAGTATCTCTTTCCTTCCTTGTAGTTCTCCTTCAACATGTTTGACCACCCGATTCCCCGGGTCTTCCAGAACCGCTTCTCCACGCAGTACCGCTGCTTCTCCGTGTCCATGCTCGCAGGGCCTAATGACAGGTCAGATGTGGAGAAAGGAGGGAAGAGTATGTGCTCGTTTTTATTTTGAATAGTAACCTTTCCTGCCCTCAGCCTACAGTGCTTGCGGTCTTCAGGAGCCCTTGTTTTGCATGTGCGACCAGAAGTTAGTTACAGTGAGAGTCTTGCTTGCCCCAGACTTCCTAAGGGGGGCCTGGGGTGGGAGGGAGAGTTCTAATTATGATTAGATTTATGGCTAATAGCTATCTGGTTCCCGCAATAAATTACAGCAAGTAAAATTCCTTATCAAAGATCATTATGAAATTCTGGCTACTTTACAAGTATCGTGTAGTACGTTTTAAAGATATGACAGCAACTAAATTTTGGCTTTGTGCTGCCTTTTTAATTTTTACTTTCTTAATGTTTCTTAAATGTTCTTTCCACAGTAATTATGCCGCCCTCAGCCCTCGATCAACTCAGTAAGTATTTTCTCCGTGACCTGGGAACTGAGGTCATTTAAGGATGGACATCAGAAACTTGGGCATATGTTCTTCAGTATGTCCAGACGTAGGCAACCTTCGTTGTGTCTGGATGGGAAGTGTCCCTGGAGGTTGCATACTGGGCTGGACTGCTGGGCCCACGGATGCCTGGTGAGGTGATGGCCAATGGCGGCCAGCTATCCAGTTGGGGGCCAGTGAGTACTCAGCTCTAGATTTCTCCCCTATGAAGGAGGCTCTCTACTCTCCTGACACCGAACCCCCCACCTCCACACACACAAACTTTATCCAGATCCCATCAGGACAAGGAAAGTTTGAACACAGTGCTTTTCTCCCTGCAGAGGCAGCTGACTCTGTTGGCTGGGTTCACTAGGTTTTTCCCTAAAGGAGGCTGTCAGCTCCCAAGAGAATGCTGTGCATAGGCTTTTCACCTCCTCCCCAAACATGTTTCTTTAGTTCCAGGCCCAAATTTCCAGCCCTGTCTGCCCCACTGCATCGACAGCGCATTATCTTCTGCCCCAGAACCTGCCCCTCTCATCAGGTTCTGTCTCTTATAGCAGGAGCCAGAGAGTCCCAAGGGTTGTGAGAGTGGCCACACTTCCTCTTTCCTCAACCTCTCATCCCCTGAGAACAACCCA